AATGCACACATTCAGCGAAACACAGGAGCTCTTTTAAGCTGTGTGCCGTTTCATTCACAACACCTGTCCCATCAACCAGGAATCAGAAATACTTAAATAATTCCAGGGAGAAATTACTTTCATTACATGACTCCATCTGTAATAGAGTGACTATAAGACCAGTTTGATATAACAATATTTCATACAATATATATAATTAGGGGGTCCCCGCTCCATCAGTTTGAGGTCCTTGTTCTGAATATCCCTGCTTTAGATCACTGTCTATATAAAAAAGTGCATGTTTTTCTTTTATAAATTATTTGTCTCTTTACCTTCAACATCTGATCTTGAGTTTGGAAATTCACAAATAACTTTTTCATTATGTCTAAAGAAGTAATCATCTAAGAAGGTTTCATGTAGTTATTTAGGTGAGAAAGCAAGGATTAGTAATACAAGTATTCATTAAAAATCACACAAAACAAAATCACATTAAGCTCTAAAACAGGATAAATGTGTAATGTTATACTAAAAAGACTTTTGTTAAAACTGAGAAGCCATTATTGAACAGAGGGGGAGGATTGAGATTTCAGCTTTCAAACAATTCAAACCTGAAAATCATTAAGAAAAAAAATACATAAGCATTCTCTTCATAATTCAAAAAGCCAAACACAAAACCCATAATTACAAAGGACAGTGATGGGTGGCTTTTTGTTTTGTATCTGAATTAGAATGGTTTTAGGAGGATTGGCCTCCATGCTCATCAAATACATCAGTGCTCCAACTACAGGTTGAACTGGTGCAGCTCAGAGAATTGATAAAGACTCCTGGAACGTTGTGGAAACATTTTCAGACAAACTGAGTAAAAGTCTGGTTCCCTCTGGTTTAAGACTGTTATGGAAAATATGCTTATCTAAAGGGGAAATAAAGCACTGAGATTTACATTTTTGTAGTCTACAAGTTACTCTGCTTAAACACATAGAACTCAAGTAGACCTTTCCATCTTCAGAAATTGAGGACATGTTCAGGTAATTATCTCCAGGTCAGAGGTTTTGGAGAAAGAACATATAAGATCCAGGATTTGGGTTTAAGACAACTGCCTTAAAATAAGCTGTAATGCCTGAGTCCTTTCACTTCCTGGTTCCTATCATGAGACGTTTGGGTCCACATATCATATAAAGTGCTGGAAATTCAAGGGAAATTACTTTATTTTGCATTTTCCAGCAGGGAGTGTGAATATTTGAATTCATGTATCAGTAGTTAATTTCAGCAGGTGTGTACTGAAACTTTCCTCCAAAACATGAACTCCTGGTTCTGCTCTGAGCTGCTGCTGTTAAACTGACTGCAAGCTTTAGTAAATTAGAAGTGAAATCAGAAGTGAAACCCGGTGCCAATCAACTGTCCAAGTCTCCCACACGAAGGTGGGATAAAAATAGCAGTGAGGGCTGGATAAATATAGGCAGCAGCTGGTGGAGGATTTTAAACACTGGGGAGTCCCCTGCTCTGTCTGACTCCTTCCCTCTTTTCTCAGCTCTTGTTATCCCCCTAATGCCCTCACACCTGTCGTCATCATCTTTCTTCTTTTTATCGCTTAGCTTCTTTCCACTTTAAAAACCCTTCTTTATTTTTATTTAAACAGGTTCAAATATATGTTTCTGCAACGTTTTAGGGAGGAAGACATATGGTTGAGTACCAGAGTGCTTACGTTTGAACTTTTATATTCATTATGCTGTGGCAGGAAAATCATGAAGAGTTATAGATTGAGAAACATGATAAAGAGCATTTATGCAGATAGTTGTGGAGTTGTAGTCTGACAATATAAAGATATGTTAAAGATTGATAAGGTAGGATTTAATTAAACAAGGTCAAAAGGTGCAGTACCACTAATGGCCTCTAGAGCAGGGCTCTGCAACCTTTACAAAGACAAATGTTTCACTTCAGTCCATTTAATCAGTCCATTTAGAGCCATAAAATAAAACATTGCCCCTTTTTCCTTTTTCTTTACAAAAAGGAAAATAAATATATATATATATATATATATATATATTTATT